TCCTTCTCCTTCTCCTTCTTCTTCTGTACCGAGAGTGAATCCAGGGACACCCCATCCCACTGAGCTACACCCCAGACCTTTTTATTTTTCATTCTGACACAAGGTCTTGCCAAGTTGCTGAGTTTGGTCTCAATTTTGCAATCCTCCTGCCTCAGCCCCCTGAATCACTGGAATTACAATAAGATGCCACTGCACCTGGTTTCCTTCCCCGAATCTCAACTGCTATCACACAAGTTTCTAAAGTTGAAGAGCAAAGCCCAGGAAACTGCATTTTTGACAGCTGTGGAGATTCCAGGGTTGGAGAGAGCTGGAAGGAGGATGCTGCTTCCCCGGTACAGTTTGAGACACTGTTATGATCAAGACCATAATCCTAGGAAATCTTGTGACGCCTTTTAAGACTGAGTGCTTTCTAGCTGTCTAGCCATCGGGTGCCCTTTTGGCCATGAGTGTTTATATCTCTTGCTCCGGAAGAAGCAGAAGAAAGAAAGAAATGGAAGGGCCAAAAAAGAAAACAGGCAGTCACACCCTAAAGCATTATCTAAGAGATATTAAAACTTGAGCTTACATAAAACCTGTGCATTTGACAGTAGCTTCATTTGTAACAAATGAAAACTAATCATACCAGAAGTTCTGCAAGAGTTACACTGATGCGTCCATATTATGGAATACTACTCAGCAGTAAAAATGAATGGCTATCAATACACACAATTTGGGTTGAAACTCCAGGAACTATGCAGAATTTAAAAAGTTAATTTCCAAAGGTTACCTACCATATGAATTCATTTATGTGATATTTGGAAGTGACATTTTATACGTGGAGAACAGATATGTGGTTGTTGGATTAAGACGGGGTGGATCTAGTTATGAAAGGGCGATACAAGGTCCTCATGGTATTGGAAGTGTTCAGTATCACTGTCATCAGACTGTGGTGGTCCGCACAAACTTAGGTGATGAAATTGTGAAACACTTGCAGGTGGGCTGGGGATGTGGCTCAAGCGGTAGCACACTGGCGTGGCATGCGTGCAGCCCGGGTTCGATCCTCAGCACCACATACAAACAAAGATGTTGTGTCTGCCAAAAACTAAAAAATAAATAATAAAAAATTCTCTCTCTTCAAGCGGTAGCACACTGGCGTGGCATGCGTGCAGCCCGGGTTCGATCCTCAGCACCACATACAAACAAAGATGTTGTGTCTGCCAAAAACTAAAAAATAAATAATAAAAAATTCTCTCTCTCTCTCTCTCTCCTCTCTTAAAAAAAAAAAAAAACACTTGCAGGTAAACAGATGGAATTAGAGAAGATAATGCTAAGTGAAGTTAGCCAATCCCCAAAACCCAAATGCCGAATGCTTTCTCTGATATAAGGAGGCTGATTCATAGTGGGATAGGGAGGGGGAGCATGGGAGCAATAGATGAACTCTAGATAGGGTAGAGGGGTGGAAGGGGAAGGGAGGGGCATGGGATTAGAAATGATGGTGAAATATGATGGACATCAGTATCCAAAGTACATGTATGAAGATACAAATTGGTGTAAATATACTTTGTATACAACCAGAGATATGAAAAGTTGTGCTCTATATGTGTAACATGAATTGTAATGCATTCTACTGTCACATATAAATAAAAAAATAGTTTAAAAAATTGTAAACACATATACAGGTACAAGTAAAACAGGCAATTTGAATAGATTGGTGAATTGTATGAGTGTCCATACCCCATATAATATTTTACTATACATTTTTTAATACGTTTATTTTGTTTATTTAGTTTTTTATTTTGTGTGGTGCTGGGGATTGAACCCAGTGCTTCATGCATGCTAGGCAAGTGCTCTACCACCGAGCCACAACCCCAGCCCTTACTATACAGTTTTATAAAATGTTGCCCAAACTGGGGAAAACTATACAAGGGATCTCTCTTTATTCTTTCTTTCTTTCTTTCTTTCTTTCTTTCTTTCTTTCTTTCTTTCTTTCTTTCTTTCTTATTCTTACTGGGGATTAAAGCCAGGGGTGCTTAGCCATATCCCCAGCCCTTTTTTGTATTTAGAGACAGGGTCTTGCTGAGTTGCCTAGGGCCTCACTAAGTGCTGAGGCTGGCGTTGAACTCTCGATCCTCCTGCTACAGAACCCCGAGCCATTGGGATTATAGGCATTTGCCACTGCATCTGACTCTCTGTATTATTTCTGAAAACTACTTGTGAATTTATAGTTACCTATTGAAATATCCGTTCATAAACAAAGGATATGGGATTACACCAGAGCTGGACAAGGGTCCAAATGTCCCTCTGCCCATGCACTGCAAGATCTCCCCACTTGACCTCTACTTCTCTTGACTCAGCATGCAGACTGAAGTGAACCAGTGTCCACAGATAGAGATGGCAATGTGGACTTCCTGCACTCAAGTCTTCTGGGCTGGAGCTTACCTCTGTGGCCTTGATGGCCCTTAGCCATGATGTCTAGCTGGGGACTAACATTAATCTCCCTGACCTCCTTCCTCCCAGGCCCAGCTCTCCACTCCCATGAAGTACCTGGGCCTGCCTGTCTTGGCTCACCAAGACAGACTCGGCCTGGAAGCAGGCAGTATTGTATTTTTCCTCTCTCAGGAAGTCCAAGGTGAAAGAGACAGAGCAGAGCAACCTTGAGGAGAAACAATATCCAGGCAAAAACACTGTAAATATTTATTCTGATTTCAAAGGGAGATGAAGAAGGAGAGGAGGATGGGAGGGAGGGACAACCCTCTTGAGCAGCAAGAGGGAGGAATAAGCCAGAATGACTCCTTCTGGATTCTAATCACACACAATGAGCTTTATTCAGTCCCAAAGGGACACATTCATGGCTATGTTCTTTGCAGATGAGATGCTCTAAGAAGTAGGTAAGAGTGTGGGTAGGGAGTGGGGCGGGGGCTGCAGGAGCGACCTAGAGCCCAGCTGCGATGGACTGTGAGCAGAGAATTCTTGGGAATCCCACCTGTTATGCCCAAGAAACCTACGTCAGTTTGGAGTGGGGGTAGGAGGGTGTATATGTGACAGGATTCCTGGATCTTCAGCCTTAGGCTTCATATCCAGAAACTGGATATGAGTTTCCAATTTCCCCCTGCCCCTTTATTTAGAACTGTGTAATGAATTTAGACATTGTTCAAACTTGCCAGCTGACTCCAACAGGGAAGGAGATAAGACTATTCATTTCTGGGATGGCTGGGAGCCGGTGGGGGTAGGGCAATCCTGACCTTGGGTGAGACAGGTGCTAGAAAGGTCGGAGAGGTCAACAGAAGAGAAATCATGAGGCTGATGACATTATAGAACAGGTCAAGATAAGTAAAAATAAGTTTAGCACAGGAAGAAGGGGACAAGACCACAAGGGCACAAGATCTGTTGGAAGTAAGAAGCAATGGGTTACCATATAATTAGAAATTGTGTATCTTTTATTATATATTATTCTAAGTAAAATATAATAAGTGATATACATCTTGGAACTAGCGTTCACAAATTTGTGGCTTTGTCACAGTTAGTATATACAGATCTGTTCTGAAATTCTGGAGTTCTTCCATCCAGACTGAAGCCGTACCACTGCCTAAGGCTTATCCTTACAAGTGGGAGGAAATAATAGGCCTGCCCATAGTAGATGCTCAGTAAATGTTTGTATTGTAAAGGAATGAAAGAAAGCCTAAAATAAGGAGACAAAAGCCCAGGCCTCCATAAGCCAATCTTTTAGTGAGGTTCCCTCCTGGCCCTTGTACCCAGAGGCTCTGACCCTGCCACTTGGAGGCAGAGATGCTGCCGATGGGTACCCTGTTTTGGCCCAGATCAGGAAGGAAATGGAAAACTGCCCTCAGCCCTTTCCTTATGGGAACACTGGTACAAATTCCTGCCTTACGTTCACTAGCCAGATGCCTTAGAAACTCAGGGGACTGAGAGCTGGCTGACAGGGCGAGTTGTTCTAGAATGGAGGTTGAGGGCGAGTTGTGCAGGAACATCCTCAGAGCCCAAGCCTTTCTACGTGTGGCTCCTTTGCACTTTGCCCTTCTCCATTGACTTTGGGAGTGCACACTGGGCATACTCTAGACCTTTCCTGAGGACTGGTGGTGAGCCCATCAGTTAAGTTCTGTGCCTTCACCCTATGACACCCTGAAGGTTACTAAAGCCTGATGTGCCATTTGTCCCTGAACCCAGTGGCCTCAGATTGTTCTCCTTTCAGGGTGTTCATTTTTCCTCTTGGCACAGTTATTTTTGTCACTAGACTTTGCATAGGCTATTATATTAAAACGGGACTGTGTTTACCAGCAAGCTCTTGGCTGGGAGAGGGTGGAGCCAGGGACCAAGGAAGTGCCACAGAATATCCAAAAGGGGGATGATCAGCTTATGGATATTGCAGGGTCTGTTGCATTTTGCAGCTAACCGGGGCTGGAAATAAGGACACGGTGGGCAGTTAGGGACACAAGGCTACCTTACCTTCCCCAGTCAGAGGCCAGCGGTACAGCGATCCTCCAAAGGACCCCAGGCTTGACAACCTGCCTGTGCCCCCTCCCCTTCATGCCACCCCCGCCGCCATTCCTGGGTCCACAACTTACCTTTTGTGCCCTGCGTTTATCGGCTCTCTGATTCTGGTGGTAAATCCTGCTGAAGTTGGAAACAATCACAGGGACTGGCAGAGCAATGACCAGAACACCACTCAGGGAGCAGATGGAGCCGAAGATCTTTCCTGCAATTGTCTTGGGCACCATGTCTCCATATCTGAGAGAGAGAGGGAGAGAGAGAAAGAAGCAGAGTGTAAGGAAGAAAGGGACCATTTGAGGACCAAGTCAGGCTTCCCAGCCAACTCACCCATTTTTTGGTTTGTTCAAGTATCGTTTAGAGTGCCTACTATGTGCCAGGTCCAATGATCCAACCTAGGAGTGAACGAAAGAGACTGGGTCTTTACGTTCACAGAGCCGACTTCCTACAAGGGACCATACACAGGAAAGTGAGTATGTCAGCAAAAACTGGAGCTTGTAGTTTTTTCTAGAAAGAGAACAGAGGAAGATACTGTGTCAGGTGGCAGTAGTGTGGTCAGAGAAGGCCTCTCTGAGGCTGAGATCTGGAGGTGAAGGGTCCAGCTATGCAAATACCTGGGCACGAGTGTGCCAGGTGGGAGAACAGAGAGTATAGAGGCCCTGAGGCAGAAGGAAGGAGGATGACTCTTTCTAGAAACTGTCCATCGGCCAGTGGGACTGGAAACAGGGAGGGAGGGGGAGAGCTAGGGCCAGGCCAGGCAGAGCTTGCAGTAGTGCAGTGGGTCATGGGGAGGAGTATGGACTTTATCCCAAGTACAGTGGGAAGACATGGGTGAATTTTAAGCCAAAGAGCAATAAGGGTCTCATTTATGATAATAAAAATAAAGTAATAAACCCGCTTTCTATTCCTGTGGAGGTTTATAGTTGACAAAGCACTCTTACAGATTGACCTCTCATAAGCCCCTGAGCCCTGTGAACTCTGCCCTTAACCCCACCTCACAGATGCAGGAGCTGAGGCTCAGGGACATTGCATTAATTGCCCTTCTTCCCTCAGACGGGCTTAAAATCTACTTCTCTTGCTTTTATTTTCTATTGACCACCCTGGTCTCAGAGGAGGATCAGGATCTCTGGAACTCAGCCCCTTAAGCTGTGAAGCCACATTGGGACAGTGCCGGTTCCTCTCAGAGCTTGGAGAAACTCTCTTAAAGTACTTCACACCCTGGCAGCTGCCCGCTGGGACTGGCGTGGTCTGGCTCCCACTCAGCCCCAGGCAAGCTGGCCAGAGTCTCTCTCCTCCAATCAATAAGATGCTCTCCACAGTGGTTAAGTGTTTAGCCTCCTCTTTATTGAGATAATTTAAAGGCCTTATTAAGCAAAGAGCTGTGATAACTCCTCTGGCCAAAGCCAGAAACATTATCTCCCCTGTCTCGGAGCAGAAACAGGCTTAGCATGACCACGAATGGTTGTCGCTGAAGTAGGCTCAAAAGTCACTTGTCCTGAGGGGACCCTGAGAAGAGGTGGAAGGGGATGGGCAAGCTGTTTCAGAATTCTGAGGTCCTCACCCAAACGGCTCAGGGCTTTGTGGAGGGTGCAGCAGAGGTTGCTAGCTGTAGGGTAAAGAATGGATGATCTCATTGAAGCCCCTCTATTCCTGTGAAGTAGGTTCCTGTTTTGAGAACTGCCTTCTTCCTCCTCAGAGTCGAGGCCTTCGTACTTGCTCAAGCGTCCTCAGACACGCACTAACATCAGGGCTTGCTACGCTCCTCGGGGCTCTTTGCAGGCCAGATTTGCCTTCTTGGCCATGACACGCAGGGCAGGCTTTAACTGAAGAGGTTGAGAAGGTGGATTCTGCAGTAAAATAACCTGGGTTTGAGAACCCCATCCCACCATTAGTCACTGTGTGACTTTAAGGGACTGAAACTTGGGTCCTCTTTTTCCTTATCTATAAAATAAAGATGAGAATAGTAACCTGCATCACAATCCCACTGTGACCTATCCAGCTTCCATCTAGGCATTCTGGAATCCATAATCTCCATTGGTGGGAAACTCTAAAAACACAGTTCATTATCCCAAGTTCAAAGAAACACAGTGCTGGAGAAAAGCAAGCCACCCCTGGGATTAAGCTGGGATTTTCAGATGACCCAGTTGAGAGGCAGCCATGGCCTTGGATGAAAATGAAGTGTGGCAAGAACATACAAGACCAAAGCTGTTTCAGAGTGACCAAGGCTAGTGAAAATGCCAAGGTCAACAGAAAGATTGTTTTATCCATTCGAAGTGGTCTGCCAGTAGCCTATGACAGAGGCACAGCAAAACAACCCCACTACCAGGTGTTTCTGCCTTCTCCTCTCTGAAGAACGAGCCTCATCTTGGAAAGGCTGGGACAAATGTCCATAGGAAGGATCTGGAGCTAGCTGGAAGTTGGGGAGTGGACTTGCATCACAGGCCCAGGTGGACCCTATCCTGGGACATGGGAGGACTGTGCAGATGGGGATGCAGAACCACTGCTCATGATCTCTGAGAAATAATGGTACAGCAGAGAAATACCAAGAGAATAGAGATGGAAAACTCTTGCATTTATATTTTTAAAGAAGGGGAAAGGAGAACCGAGAAACCACAGGCCATCAGGCTTGGCATCCATCAATTCTGCCATAGCATTGCTTGGCAGAATGTGAGAGCAGATTATTAAGTGGACAGCTTGGGAACACTTGGAAAATAATTCGTATTGGTTTGCTATGCACACGTCTTGCCAAATTAACTCGATTTCTTGTTGTGAGAGCAAGGTTAACTGGCTGATGGATCAGGAGACTGCTACAGACCTATTGCATCATGATTTGAGCACGAAGTGTTCTCGTCCCAGTTCTTTATACCCTTGACAAGCTTAGGAAGGTGGTGTGGATAGCAATGTAGTTATTAGGGGGTTGAGTAACCATCTCTAGATTTCTGGAACTTCTTCAAGATTGTCAAGGGGGGATTCTATGCCAGTAAAGAAAGCTCAGAGTTTCCAAGCTCACAGTTTTTGCAAAGGTGACTTTAGTGAAACAGTAAGTGAAACAAAGAGTGGATCTAAAGTTAGGTCTCCAGTGGTGTGTTCCAGAATTTTTCAACAACTTGTACAAAGCCAGAGGGAGGCAGCATGGCCTAATAATTGAGAGAGGAGACTGGACTCAGATGTGAGTTTGAACCCTATCCCTGTATTGCTTACTAACTAGCTTAATGATCCTGGGCCATTTAATTTGACCCTGTGCCACCCATAAGATGGGTATCTCCAGAGTTGTAATAGTAATTCAGAAAAACAAAACAAAACACTTCACTCAGTGTTTGGGTGACTGTAAATTCTCTATAAATAGCCAGTGTGGTGGGCTCCTATTTTTTTTTTTTTTGTCTATGAAAATCCTACCTCATCTAGGACCCGTGGCCCACCCATTATTATGACATAAACTCTGCACAGAGGAGCCACCATAGTTTTGCAAAACTTCCCCTCTGCTCCTTCTGCCCTACTCAAAGTAAGTTCAAAATAGAGCATCTGACCTAAGCTGGGTCAATGGTTTCCTTTTCTGGGTTTATTTTTCAACAGTTTTATTGAGATACAATTGACATACCATAAAATTTGACTTTTAAATCATACATTGCAATATTTTTTTTGTGTTTAGTTATATAGTTATGTTTCCATCATAAAACAGTCTAGTTTTAGAATATTTTCATAAGCCCCCCCACCCCCCAAAAAACCACCTTGTATTCATTAGCTGTCAGTGATCATTCTGCACCCTTACTCCCTGGTGACCATTGATTCTCTATAAATTCCCTGTTTTGGATGTTTTATCTAAATGAATCATAGAATACGTAGCCTTTGTGTCTGATTTCTTTCACTCAGCATAATGTTTATGCACATATCAGTACTTCATCCTTTTTGATGCTCAATAAATAATCATCTGTATGGATATATACCATACCACATTTTGTTGAGCCATTCATTAGTTGACAGATAGTTTGGTTGTTTCTACTTTTTACCTCTTATGGCCTAGAAAGCTTTTGTGTGGCCATGTTTTCAGTTCTTTAGGAGTCAGATGGTAACAGGATTTAACAGTTTGAGGCACTGCCAGACTGTTTTTCAAATGCACCATTTTTATGTTCCCACAAGTGATGAATGAGGGGTCCAATTTCTCCTTACCTAAGACAACCCTTATTACTGTCTGGCTTTTTGATTATAGCTATCCTGATGAGTATGAAGTGGTATCTCGGTGGTTTTATTTATTCATATTTTTTGTGCTAGGGATTGAATCCAGGAGCACTCTGCCACTGAGCTACATCCCCGTGCTTTTTGGGTATTATTTTGAGACAGGGTCTCGCTGGGTTCCCAAGGTTGGCCTCATGCTCCAGAGTCTCAGGGGTTACAGGTGTGGGTACTGCTGGGCCCGGCATCTCAGTCTGGTTTTGATTTTCATTTTTCTGACGGCTAATGATATTGAGCCCCTTTTCCTCTTTCCTGGATTATACCTTTGGGACCAGATCAATCTCCTTCAAAGGAAGAAACTGCAACAAATATAGCTCTGGAGTTGTTGGCAGCTATGCTTTCTGCCATTGGAAAAAACCAGGGCGTAGTTAGAGAGGAAGAAGGCTGCCATGTGGAAAGAGATGCGAGGTGGGAACAGAAGTTGTGGAGTTTGAGTTCCTGTGACAGTTCTTACGGAAGGCCAGCTTGACCTCTGACCTTTCTGTGGTTCATAGTTCAGTCCTTTGACGATGCTCACTGACAAATTATTATTGTTGCTTAAACATCTTTCTTTTTTTTTTAAACCTTCTTCCATTTGGATCTGAAGATAATTATGATGATGATACTACTGCTGATTGTTTTAAGATCATTTTTTCCAATTTCTAAATGACAGAGCTACTATGAATTGGAGTCTTTAGGAGTCAAAAGGATTTTAACAGGTTGTAATCATGGGAGAAACCAACCAGCTTCATTTTAACAAAGACAAATGATACCACCAGCATTTTGATTCAAATAATCAATGGCTTGTATAGCGGATGGGAGGGACCTGGCTATGTTAACAATCACAGGGGAATTTAACTTCAGCAGCGTTGGCCACCAGTAATAGCTGCTAAAACTTTAATTTAGCAGAAAAGGGGAGTCGGTAGGCCAGCCTCTCTTCTTTGTGCAGGCTGCTGGGTTGAGTTCCAGGCGCTATGGGACATTGGACATCGGCGAACTGGCCTGTGTCCCAGAGAAGGACACTGGGATTT